ACACCGCAGACGGAGTCAAGTACTTCATCAAGTAAGACAAATCAAATGTCATAACCCCAAAACAGTGTGTGCAGCAAAGTCCTGCTTCGATTCTGATCCACTTTACCACATAACGGACTTCAGAGAGTCAAGTGAACGTTCAGCTGATGAGTCCAGAACGCTGATTAGAGACTCAATGCAGAGGAAAGAACCGCTGAGGAACAAGAGACCAGACACTTCACTAGAACATGTGAAGCGAGATTGATTGAGATGTTGTCCAGGGTGACAGCGTGATGGAGGTCAGCTGACCGACAGGAAGTAGAGCTCTAGACGAAGCAGAAACGCCCGATGAGGCAGTTCGCCGCCTCTTTACGTGTGTTTTTAACCCGTGACAGTCACATGACCCAGACCACCTCGTGGAGCCTCCCCGGGGGCGGCGGCCATGTCCCTCCTCGTCCTCCGGAGGTCTCCGGGCCGAAGACGGAGCGCAACGGGGAGCCGACGGAGCGGAAGTCCATCGAGACGGAGATGTGACGCCCTGGGACCGCCGCCTCTGTCGGACTCCTCACGTCAGATATAATAATAAATATTATTGTGTAATAAATTGATCGTTCTGTCCGGCTCCTTTCAGACCCTCACAACTTTCTCCTTAAAGGTGCAGCAACCGTCCAGTGAAGATGAAGAGTGGAGGGTTGTGGGTTATGCTATGCTAGCCGGGTCCTCCTGGTTCCAGTATTATGCTAAGCTAACCAGCCCCATATATTTCTTTATCTTTAGCAAGATAAAATGTTGTGGTTTTTATCGGTTTAAACGTATTTATTTTTGTCGTGAAGCGGTGAAAACGACTTATTAAAGTTCTTCTGGATTGTTCAAAGCTCACAGAAGTTACTTCATTAACATGGATGCACTTCTAATGTGCAGGTTTTATTCTGTATTCGATCTTTTACTAAGTACACAGGAGGTCTTTTCACTTTTTCTCCTTCTAGAAAAGTATCTTTTCAGTGTGTTAAATGTTTAAAAGGTTCCTTATTTTCTAAAGTAAACATTTTGTCTCCAGCAAGACGACATTTTAGCATTTGTGAGTTTAATGGAAACGTGAGCTCCCGTAGACGTTGATTGAGAACGTGTGTATTTGAATAAACTCATCAGGTGGTCGCTACTCAAGCTGTCCACGTAGGCGAAGGTTGTCGTGTTTCTGCTGAAGACCCAGAAAACACCAACATCGTTACGTGAGTCGCATGAAGAGCGTCATCCATACCGTCCGCGCTCAGCGCCACGACTTGGGAACACGACGCTTGCTGTGTTTTGAGCCCCGGCGACTGCAAGGCCTTCTGGGAGCTTTTCTCTGAATCGCTCGGGGCCACGATGGCGTCCGAGGATCAAACCGACGAGTTGAAGAACCACGACATCGTTCTGCTCTTTGTCCTCGAGGGGAATCCGTTATTAGCTGTGTAGAGAATCCCCTCGTGTGCGTGCGTGCATGCGTGTGTGTGTGTGTGCGTGCGTGCATGCGCGTGCGTGTGTGTGTTCGTGCGTGTGCGTGCTGGGGCTGGGAGTGGGAGGAGCCAAGCCAATATCTTGCAGCCAGCGGCTCTCAGTATTGATTTTTCCTTCACGCTAGAAAGTGCAGCTAGAAATATCTGCTAATCATAAACACACACATGAACACACACAAAGTCACAAAGTACACACTCACAAACACACAAACGTTTACGTTTCAGTTTTCTCGGTTCTTGAGCGGTTTGTTCCCAGAAGTTTAGGACGATTCAAGGTCTGTAGATCTAGTTATGAAAAGCAAATGAACAAAGTGAGAAACACCTTTTGTTCTCTCATGTATCAATAAAACACTTTAGTCTTTAACGTAACATCCAACTTTGTTTATATGTGTAAACTGATACAGAGTGAATGAATGAATGAGGAAAGGAAAGCACGCTGTGTGATTGGCTGGGCTGCTGCCAGAGGGAGGAGCCTGTGGAAGGAGAAAGAAAACCTGCTCCCGACCAGGTGATGTTCACAGGCTTAGTTACCACGGTGACTGAGCCTGAGCTTTAGTTACCATGGTGATGGACCCTGAGCTTTAGTTACCATGGTGACTGAGCCTGAGCTTTAGTTACCATGGTGACTGAGCCTGAGCTTTAGTTACCATGGTGACTGAGCCTGAGCTTTAGTTACCATGGTGATGGACCCTGAGCTTTAGTTACCATGGTGACTGAGCCTGAGCTTTAGTTACCATGGGGACTGAGCCTGAGCTTTCCCTCATCTCAGGGTGAACAAACTCTGAGTTTACACTAAACCCGCTTATTGAAACGGACCCCAGGTCGATCCCACCCGTCACAGAGCTGGACCCGGACAGAGGACTCTGGGACCTGGAGCTCTGGACCACCGGGGGCAGGTCCTCGGGTCTTAAGGGGTACCAGGAGGTCGGCGCTCTGGTTAAAAAATCATCAAACATTGAATCAGGTTTTCACAATAACAGGGGACGAGATCTGTCCTCCATCCATGACGTAATGATGATAACGTACTATTCCTGTGTGGAGGAGGAGGGGCCACCGGTCTCATGCCTGTCTCTTATGTGTCTCTTATGTGTCTCGTACCGGTCTCAAGCTTGTCTCTTATGTGTCTCTTACTGGTCTCAGTAAGTCGTCGTCGTGGTGCAGAGGTTAGAGAAGGTGTGCTGGGATGCACAAGGTTGGTGGTTCGATTCCTGGCTGCCCCATGTTCCATGTCGAAGTGTACCTGAGCAAGACACCTGACTCCTAATTGCTCCCCAGGCAAAAATGTGAAAAAGCCACGTGTTTAAAGTGTAATGTAAGTCGCTTTGGATAAAAGCGTCTGCTAAATGACCTGTAATGTCTCATGCCTGTCTCTTATGTGTCTCTTACTGGTATCATGCCTGTCTCTTATGTGTCTCGTACCGGTCTCATGCCTGTCTCTTATGTGTCTCGTACCGGTCTCATGCCTGTCTCTTATGTGTCTCTTACTGGTCTCATGCCTGTCTCTTATGTGTCTCGTACCGGTCTCATGCCTGTCTCTTATGTGTCTCGTACCGGTCTCATGCCTGTCTCTTATGTGTCTCGTACCGGTCTCATGCCTGTCTCTTATGTGTCTCTTACTGGTCTCATGCCTGTCTCTTATGTGTCTCGTACCGGTCTCATGCCTGTCTCTTATGTGTCTCTTATCTGTCTCATGCCTGTCTCTTATGTGTCTCTTACTGGTCTCATGCCTGTCTCTTATGTGTCTCTTATGTGTCTCATGCCTGTCTCTTATGTGTCTCTTATCTGTCTCATGCCTGTCTCTTATGTGTCTCGTACCGGTCTCATGCCTGTCTCTTATGTGTCTCGTACCGGTCTCATGCCTGTCTCTTATGTGTCTCGTACCGGTCTCATGCCTGTCTCTTATGTGTCTCTTACTGGTCTCATGCCTGTCTCTTATGTGTCTCTTACTGGTATCATGCCTGTCTCTTATGTGTCTCGTACCGGTCTCATGCCTGTCTCTTATGTGTCTCGTACCGGTCTCATGCCTGTCTCTTATGTGTCTCGTACCGGTCTCATGCCTGTCTCTTATGTGTCTCTTACTGGTCTCATGCCTGTCTCTTATGTGTCTCTTACTGGTATCATGCCTGTCTCTTATGTGTCTCGTACCGGTCTCATGCCTGTCTCTTATGTGTCTCGTACCGGTCTCATGCCTGTCTCTTATGTGTCTCTTATGTGTCTCATGCCTGTCTCTTATGTGTCTCTTATCTGTCTCATGCCTGTCTCTTCTCTATCACTTGTTTCTTCCTCACATCCCTTGTTTCCTCCTCTTTACCCTTGTTTCCTCCGCTCCTCCCTGGTTTCCTCCTCTCATCCCTTGTTTCCTTCCTTCCTCCCTTGTGGGGGGGGTGGGGGGGTAGGAGGCTCGGCTCCTGATTGGATGAAAGTAGGTCAGGCCGGCCCCCTCATGTGACCCAGCATGCCGCTCTGCAGGCCGTGTGTGTTTGACTGCGTGCGCGTGTTTGTGCGTGTTTGTGTTAAAACATCACAAAACATTTAAAGAACAGAAAACAAGTGTTTCGTTTTAGTCACCAACTAATTAAGTGATACAACTTAATTATTTATGACGTCACAGTGACATGGTTGCAGATCAAAGGGAACTTTTCTTCATAAAACTATGAACAAATATAAGTTTAATCAATAAACGCTTTTTTTCTCCATTATCTAAATCTAAAGCAACACATCAAACACGTCATCCGTGCAGATTGAAACATGTTCTCAGTGTTTAATATTCAGATGTCATGATTCATCTCACGAGATGCGATTATTAAACATGATTCTCTTATTGTCTTTTTTCTATTCTTTTTATTTTGTTGTCATTTTATTTACATGAATATGTTGCTGAAATGCGCTTTAAAGGAACAACAGCAATGAGAAGAGTTGATAATTACACAATAATATAAATCATTCATAACGCTGATTGGCAGTCAGCTGCTGGGGGGTAAAGGGGGAGGAGCGAGTCTCGGTCTGACGTCAGCAGTCCTCCGGTCCCACACCGGCGCCCGGTGCTCGGTGTCTGTCCGCCTCGCGCAGCCCGCTGAGCCCGGTCACGCAACGCCGCACGCACCCGCAAAACCCGCCGCGCGCCGCTCCGCGTCGATCCGCGTCGATCCGCCGCCTCGCGAAGGATCGTTTGCTCCTTTTCAGACACTTCCGCCTCATCGCCCGGGAGTTTTTTAATTATTTTGATTTCATTGGTCGGGCCTCACGCGACGGAGAAGATGTCCCGACATCCCGTCCCGCGCCTCGCGCCCTCTGGGCTCGTGCCCGCTGCGGCCACCACGCACGGAGTTCTGAAGTCTCTGCTGGAGAACCCGATGAAGCTGCCGCTGCGTCATGAAGGTGAAGTCCAGAGGACTTTGAGTGCTTCTCCACTGTGTGTGTGTGTGTGTGTGTGTGTGTGTGTGTGTGTGTGTGTGCGGGTTCGTTACGCGCATGCGGTGATGCTGCTGCGTGAGGCGCGTGTCCTTCAACAAGTCCCGGTAACGTGTCTGCAGACTCTTGTCACGTGGAGGCGTCAGAGAAACAAACACGCGGCTGAAATGTAAACAGAACCCACTGGGATGTGTGACGTCATCATGCTAAATCAGAAATACAGAAAACTTACATGAAAAACGTACATTTAATTGAGTGAATGTACACATGATGTTTTAGCACAAATGAAAAGGCCAAAAACAAACGTGAGTTTCTGAGCTCCAAACGATGAGTTTATTGATAAGACACGAAAACAGAAGTCAGAGTCTCAAAAGCCTCCTGATCTGTGGAGATGAAGCTCGGTGACTTCTGTGGGTGATGGCAGAGTTGTGTTCAAGGACACCTTGTTAATGAGGACACCCAGTGACGTGCAGGCCAAAATGAAAACGTAAAACTTTTTATTAAATCATTTTATTTAATAAACTTGTATATTTATTTTACTGTTTATTCTTATAATGATATATACAATATGTGTGTAGCCGTTACACATAATCAAACACAAAGAAATGCAGAATAAGCTGCTTTTACCGTCCGTTCATTCAAGTGAAAACCCCCGTTATGCATGCGCACTTTGCTCCAACAGGCTGAATATCTGTTTAGCAGGTGACGTGCTGCACTTCCTCAAATGACCCTTAATCATCCAGTTCTTTAAAGAGAAGTCAAAGCTTCAGGTGTTAAAGCTGCATTCTGTGCAGTGACCAGCAGGGGGCGACTCCTCTGCTCCCATAGACGTCTATGAGGAAATGACTCTACTTCTCTGTAGTGACCAGCAGGGGGCGACTCCTCTGCTCCCATAGACGTCTATGAGGAAATGACTCTACTTCTCTCTGGATTTATTCCCTCAGTAAACATTGTAAACATGAGTTTATGTCTCAGTCTCTAGTTTCAAGTCTTCTTCAACACAACATGATATTCATTTAGTGATTTATGGTCCATTTAGAGTCAAACTCCCACTTTTAGCTTCATTCAGTCTAATTATTAACAAATCACCCACAATCCCTCCTGTTTGTGCGTTTTACTGCTGTAGAAGAATTAGAGACAGTAAACTAGAGTGTGTTTATTGAAGGTTACATAATACATTTTAAATAATACACTTTAAATGAACAGCGGAGATAAACGAGGAAATGCTCACGTAAAGAAAACAAGTGGTCCGACATGCTCAGACTAACCTGTGGAGGTTCTGACCCGGTCCGCCTCTCCTCCTCTTGCAGCCTTCAGCAAGGAGCAGGAGAAGGAGAAGAACCTGGAGGAGGAGCGCAGCGCCCCCCAGTCGGCCTTTCTGGGCCCCACGCTGTGGGACAAGACGCTGCCCTACGACGGAGACGCCTTCCAGCTGGAGTACATGGACCTGGAGGAGTTCCTGTCCGAGAACGGCATCTCCTCCAGCGCGTCACAAGAGCACCGCCCCCTGAGGCCGCCGCCAGGCACCTCCCAAGCCCCGCCCACGCCCTCGGTGATGGACCTCAGCAGCCACGCCTCCACCTCTGTGGTCTCTGTCAACTGCCTCCATGGCGGCCGGGCGAGAGCCGGTAAACACACAACAGAACACATACACTCATCTTTTTACACCAATAAGGCTTTTTGAAGCCTTTTTTAAAATAGATTTTCATGTTGAATCTTAACTTCATTTCTAATTCATGCTGCCCTGTTTTAGAAATACATTTCTACTATTGAAGACAACCATTCTTTTCCATTTGGTTGGTTGACTCTGTGAAGCCCCAGTGTCTTTCAGCGTAGAAAAGAGAGAGGATGGATCCTCAAGGAACAGTCCAAAGAAATAAAACTGAATTATCAGGAGTCAGACATCGGATGACGCTATAACATAAAAAACAACTCGATAGTGGAAGCAGTTCACCCCAAAATGTTTGAGGTGTTTTATTGTGTCATCACAGCGGTGGTCTTTGGTTAAATGGACCCAGGACGGATCCTTGGGGAACCTCACATGGGAAGAAATTTAACATGGACAAACTTTAATGCAAATGTAATGTTCACTGATGGAGTGAATCCATTATAAAATACCAAGACAAGAGTGATGAATGAAACGAGCTGAAACATTTCAATTGGCTCTTTTCTTCAGCCGACAGTCTTAAACCTACAGATGTTCATCATAAGAGTTTTTCAAGCCGTTGATTCATCCACTTTAATAGACTTTCATACCATAGAAATATGAATGGATGAATATGAGTAGATGTGTCTTGCTAACTCGTGTATGCACAAGTATGTTCCTTTCAAACATCACTCACTTGGTTCCTCCCTAATTGGTAAAATAATCCATCCATCTTCCCGTAATGAGGTGGAGCTGCAGGAAACCAGCTTAGTTAAACATGTTGTACTTCAAAGCCTGACTGCAATTGTATTTCAATTTAGTTCATTCATACACTGTTTTTCTTGTGTAAACTTTCAGGTACGGAAAGTTCAGTTCATCATTTCAGTGACCACATTTTACCCGTTTGACCACTTTAATGAAGCTCAAATGTAAAGCTTCTATATATAACGTCGCTGAGTAGTATTCTTTAGGGTTTAATAACCTAAGATTTTAGAAGCTGCATTCTCTGTAGTGACCAGCAGGGGGCGACTCCTCTGCTCCCATAGACGTCTATGAGGAAATGACTCTACTTCTCTGTAGTGACCAGCAGGGGGCGACTCCTCTGCTCCCATAGACGTCTATGAGGAAATGACTCTACTTCTCTGCAGTGACCAGCAGGGGGCGACTCCTCTGCTCCCATAGACGTCTATGAGGAAATGACTCTACTTCTCTCTTGATTTATTCCCTCAGTAAACATTGTAAACATGAGTTTATGTCTCAGTCTCTAGTTTCAAGTCTTCTTCAACACAACATGATGTTCATATAGTGAATTATGGTGTGTGTGTGTGTGTGTGTGTGTGTGTGTGAGTGCGTGCGTGCGCGTGCGTGCGTGCTTTGAGTTCCTTTTGTTTATAGAGGAAGAAAACAAGCCGTCTTCTCACAGCGTGCTGGAACATGTGACATCTCTGCTGTGTGTGTGTCTCATGTGTGTATGTGTGTGTCTCTGTGTGTATGTATGTGATAACGTGTTACATGAAGAACAAAATGTACTCCGCCCCCAGTGAGCAGAAACACATAAATATCCCTCTCCTTCAGTTTACATTTACAGTGCAACTAATACACACACACACACACACACACACACACACACATCTAGAATGTAGACACACACATGTAACAGTTCAACGGATGTTTTAATTTAAATTGAATTTGAATTGTCTCAAATATTCAGAGAATTTTAAAATAATCTGCTCTGATTCATGAAAGTTCATTTTTAATAGTCTCCACAGTTTCAGTGTTTTAAGGAAACATGTTATATCTCATCGATGTGAAAGATACTTATCGTTCTTAAATTCCTATTCTTTTATCATAGTTGATTTATGTTTAACAATCTCTACGAAGAAAGTCAACATCAGCAAGAAGAGTCTGATATGTGACGTGACGTCACGACTCCTCCATCCGATCTGCTGCCCTCCTTTCTAAATATAGACGCCTAATCTACGGCCTTAATCCGCCATATTTGAACTCCCATGTGGCCGCGTGGCGTCCGGACCAACGGGGTCGCAGCAAGTTCACGTCCAAGTGAAGAGACAAACATGGTCATCCTGCCGCCGGGCCCCTCGGGGCCTGAAGCCTTTCCTCCCCCTGATGTTTGGGATTTAAGGGTCACGTTCGACCTGCAAGAGCCGATACGGGGAAATGTTCCTAAGTCACGTTTAGACGTGATACGTGTGTAGTAAGTCAGCTCCAACGCTAATTTACTTTATCTTACTCCAGTCCTCTGAAATGTCCTCACACAGGGTGAGACCTGTCTGTCCCCACAAAGATAGAAATACAGACACGTAAACACACACCTGCCACTGGAGACAGTGAATGCATCACAGAGAGGAGACTGAATGCATCACAGAGAGGAGACAGTGAATGCATCACAGAGAGGAGACAGTGAATGCATCACAGAGAGGAGACAGTGAATGCATCACCACCTGCTGGCTGCACCTCTCACTGCATCTTTAGAGTCTGTGATTATTTATTGAAGGATGAACAGTCCCATTAAATCTTTATAGATATTATTTTATCTAGAAGTACGAATCACAAAGTATGTAATGTACTATTTTTTTCACGGGGGGGGGGGGCACTGGGTCAATTATTAATAATATAATAATTAAAATATAAAAAATAATAATTTCATCATCCAGCTTAATTTTCCGACTTTATTTGATTGATTTATTGCATAATTAAATTGATTTACAGTGTCCTTGCTTTGTAGTCGCCATTAAACTTTGTAGCCTTTTGGTGTTCTGCTGCCGCTTTCATATTCACATTGGTCCTGTTCCGGTCGGAGGTCTTCTACGTTGGTCCAATCCCTCAAACACTGTTTTTCTTCCTGTAGGCCTGCCGGGCTCCAGAAGGCCACCCAGCTCCGTGGACCCGGACTCGGTCCAGGTTCTGGTGGGGTTCGAGCCCGACCCGGCCGACCTGGCTCTGTCCAGCGTTCCCGGTCAGGAGATGTTTGACCCGCGCAAACACAAGTTCTCCGCCGAGGAGCTGAAGCCGCAGCCAATGATCAAGAAGGCCCGAAAGGTCTTCATCCCCGAGGGCCTGAAGGTACTTTGGAGCCGGTTCCATCGCAGTTAGTTAGGCTCCTCCCCTAACCGTTGAGCCAGAGGACAGAGGCCGATTTGTTTCGTAGTACTGACGTCCGCTCTCGGCTTTTGGTCCTGAGGAGACCATGTGGTGGACACACCGAACACCTTAAACCACAAGAACATTAGCATTAGTACATGAATCTACTTCTTTAAGGTACTGTTCACTAGTACTAGTTAGTCACTTACTAGTTTACATGTTTATTTTTTTATAATATTGAAACACGGAAGCACTGAATTTTGTTCTAATGATTCATGTGAATAAACTCACCTGCTTTCACAGTCAGAAGACTTGATTTGTACGTTTTGTATTAACAGACGGATTGAACCATTAATGGTGATTAATTGGTTGGTTTCTTCTCTCCTATTGGTCCACTCCTCTGGGGTAACAGGCCTAAAGGAGAGGACTTTATTGCTGCTTCCAGTCTTCATGCTAAGCTAAGCTAAGCTAGCGTCCGTGCTCATTATTAGAACGTTTGCTAAAGCGCTGATGATAAAACATCTTCTGGACTCTTTTTTTTCTCACGTCTCCTCTCTGATCCCTTCGTGTCCATCGAGCAGGACGACAAATACTGGGCCAGACGCAGGAAGAACAACGTGGCGGCCAAGAGGTCCCGGGACGCCCGGCGGCTCAAGGAGAACCAGATCGCCATCCGGGCCGCCTTCCTGGAGAAGGAGAACTCGGCGTTGAGGCAGGAGGCGGCCGAGCTGAGGAGAGAGCTGGGACGCGCCATGAGCGTCCTGTCAAAGTACGAGGGCCAACACGGGGCCCTTTGAGGACACATCAGCAACATCGCTCCCCGGGTCCCCCAGCGACCTCCCCCTCCCCGGGTCCCGCAGCGACCTCCCCCTCCCCCTCTCGGAGATCTTCAAGCTGCTGGGACTACTTTCAGCAGCGGATTAATCCACAAAACCGCCCCACGTCTTTTCACCTCGGGACTGTTCGCTACAAGGACACACCCGATTGCACGTCCGGCTGTGACTCCTCCCACCTTTTGCCTCTGGCCCCGCCCCTCCCCCAGTATACCCTGTAAAGGCACTTTAAAACCACTGAAGCCTCCCTCTGCCAAATGCCCCCCCCTCCCTCTAGACTCCGCCCCTAGTCTGCAGGTGTTATTCCCACAATGCACCTGTTCACTCAGATTGCATTACTCATTGAGCTCTGTTGAGAAAAGATCCTTTTAGTATATGAAAAGAATGTAAAATGATATATTTGTGTCTTTTGTGCAGGCAAGATCCAGCTTTTTGTAATTTGCTAAAACAGAAAAATCTAAAATTTCTTATTTCTTGATTCAAAATAACATCAACTCTTCTAAAATATGGAATTTGTATCACACTTTTTGACTCATAGCTAATAACTATTATAATTGCAATGTATAAATACATTTTTTATCAAAATGTACACATGAAGGCAAATATAATGAGTTTTTTTAATGAATCGATAACCGTATCCGTAGTATTTTGTTTTTTACTGTAAACGGTTTGTTCTCACCAAAGAGCTGAGGGGCCACAGGTGCATTCTGGGAGGGCTGTGCGTCACCGGCGTTTATGAAACAACAGAAAGGCTTTTAGTCTTAAACAATGAATGTAGATGACGATCATATTTTATAATGTAAAGTTTGAGTAGACTTCAATCAATAAATAAAAAAGTTATTGGTTTGTTGCCAACTGTGAAAACCGGGTGTTGTTAAGAGAATATATATATATAATATATATATATAATATATTTAAATCATCAGATCAAAGACTCTTGTGTCGTTGTGGTCAACTCTCCAAAACGTTTCTGCAGGAGAAATAAAAAGGTTTATTTACTAAATAGAACTAATTTATCTCAGATTATGAGAGTTTGTCTTTCTTTTAGACGAAATCTTATAACTAACGAGTAAACAGTGTAGAGTGTATTTCAGACACTGAGGTTTAATTGTTAATGTTATTTTAAACACAAAACTACACACGTGATCGTGTTGGAGGTGGAACATGTTAAAATATTTTATGCATTAATCTCGCTCACAATAATCTTAGATTAACGCGTTAACTTTGACAGACCTTTTCTTTACCTCCACAAAATACTGATTCATGTCCTTTAGCCGTTTTTAAAATGTTTCTTTTAAACCCAGAAATATTTCTGAAACTGCAGAAATGAGACATTTCTGAATGAAGAATCCCTTTATCACCGCCCAAACAATACGGATATATATACACATATATATATAATTCAGCCGTCTGTTTTCCTACATAGATGTTTCCTCTGTATTTCCGATGGGTTAAATCTACATAATAAGAAAATATATATATATATATATATATATATATATATATATATATATATATATATATATATATATTCCAAACTATTTGGAAATGGGCATTACTCCCTTGTCCTCTGAGCAGGTGTCTTTTCTGTTTGGTCATGGATATGTTTTGTCTTATTTTGGTCCCTGTGGATGTTTCTGATGATGAAAATAAAAAATAAAGATTTGAATCCACTTTGTTTTCTGTTTTTCTGTTTTTTTCTTCTGTTTCAAAACCAAGTTCAAACTTTATTTATACAACCATAGTGTTAAAAAGTCCAATAAAATAAATTATATTTTAAGGAAAGAAAACATGAAGCAATAACAAATATGGCTGATTAAAATGTATCATCATAATGTTTGTATAAATATGCAATTTATTCATTAACAATTTTCATTTCATCGGTTTAATTATAATTTACTTTACTTTGTACATTGAAAAAGTAAGAAAACTAAACGAGCTTTGAGACACTGAAGAGAAACAAAACATTCCGCTTTATATTTGTCATTTGACATGAATTAATGAATTAAAAAAGTGTTTTAGAGGTTTGATTTTTCAGTCACTTTCACATCATTTATATTCATCAGAGATGAAAAGCATCGGAGCAAAACACGTGTGCACGTCCCGTTGCATGCTGGGAGTTTCCCTGGCACACCTTCCTCACGGTTCCCGACATAAAGAGGATGTGGATCCGGTCTACCAGCAGGGGGCAGCACCCCTTCACAATAAATCACAAACCACTGATCAAATTAAAAGCCTCCGATTATGAAACTTTACAAACAACATTTGACAAAAGTACTTTGAATATCAAAAGAACTGCATGAAAACATGTAACATAATATTTTAGCTCAAGTAACAATTCATAGTTAGGAAACACACGTATGAAATAAGAGCCAGTTGGGATCATTTTCTTAAAAATAACTAACATTTAAATGAGTGTAAATGAGACTTACTTCTATTGTTCCACAAATAAAAGTGTAGCTCATTTTATGATTTTTGAGGTAATGTCTTTTTTTCTTTTTCATTAGGTGCTTTATTGTGTTCTGTTCCCTCACAGGTTTACATTCAGGAGTTATAAAACGTGTGTAACTTTAGGAAAGATAGTAACCACTACGGATTATGTCAGGAACTATTTCATGTTTCTTCACAGATTTCTCACATTTTATCATTTAAAATGAATCTTCAACAATGTGTCACACATACGCCCACGTAGTTTATTTTTCATCTTCACTGCATGTTCACTCTCCTGTCATTTAAGACCCTCCCACCTCGTCACCTGATTCCCTGCACCTGGTTCTGCTCACCTGTGGTGCCGCCCCTCGTCAGTCACTAAATATTTAATCCCGTCACATTCTGTTGCTCGCTGCCAGATTGTCTTGTGTCCATGCCAAGTTTTCCAGCGTTTTTCCGTTTACTCCCGTCCCGACCTGACCCGTCCCGTCCCGTCCTGACCCGACCCGTCCCGTCCGGCCTTCTCTTGACCACGAACTCTTCACCTGCACCCTTTCTGGATTTGTTTGCCTGCCGGATTGCCGTCGTGTTTCTGAACCCTGCCTGCCCCTCTGGATTAGTTTGCCCATTGGACTGCTGTCCCGGTTTGGACGCTGCTTGTATCAGTAAAGAACTTGGATTCTGCCTCGGACTTGTGCTTTTGGGTCCCGATTCCTGAAACCGTTACAAATGTAACAGTTGGACGGTTACATTATTGAAGATAAAGTACAGCCTCTCGTACCTTATTTACTATTTAATCCCCTAAATAAAGATAAGAACCACATTTATTATCACTTAATTATTGAGCAGCAACTATTGGTGATAAATCAGTGTGTCAGAAGTCAATTGAATGTATTATTACCACCAAGTAAGAAAGTAAACTCCAACAAACCTCATTCCTCTAGTTTACGTCATGTTGTGCGTTTGTAATGTCAATAAACAGATGAGATAATGAATCTGGTAACTAATAATAATAATAATAATATCTAAATTGGACCCGATTATCAGTCTCCTGGGTCACAGTTGGTAACAAAAATAATCTGGGAGGAAAAACCGCTGGAATAATGAGTTTTCTTGTCTGTGACCGTGTAATAAAAACCAACACTTGAAGAAGAAGCTCAGTATGTTTAATCTTTTTTTGTCTCACTTATCGTTTCCACCACAACGTACTTGTATTTGACATCTTTTACGCACAGCGTTTAAATTGTGTGTTTGAGTGAACTGAAGTCGTGAGCGGATCAAACTCCGAAGCCTAAAAGTCTCTTTTTTTTAACAAGTGGGAGGAGTTTGGCGTTCTGTGGGATTACGTCTGACGTCACGGACGGACTGATGGAGGTTCTGTTTTGTTCTCCTTAGCGTGCCCCCCCGGCCCCCCCGGCCCCCCCGGCCCTGACAGCCGTGTAGGCATCGGCTGAGCCGCCGGGTCACGCATGAACATGGCGAGATCCTGGCCCGTTGACAACTTGAAGCTTACGTAACCCCCCCGGCCCCCCCCCTCTACGGACAAAACAACCACACAGGCCAAAGACAAATACATAAAACACACTCCTAATACTCAGCGGCGGTCACCGAATAATCCACAAACATGGAATATGGAGACAGGGGGGGTTGAATAATTGTGCAATACATATGATGGATGGAGAGGAGCCATGGGGGGGGGGGGGGGTTACATAAGAGGATTTGCCTCTGTGGAACGAGTCCTCCAAAGACTCAGGGCTGGATCATCCGTGCGGAGCCAATGGGACGAGGCGATGGGGGGTGACGTCGTAGGCGAGAGTCTTTTTCGTCTGGGGAGGATTTTGGTTATTTCAGCAAGGGGGGGATTAGTTTGCCATTTTTTGCAGCACAGAACAAATGTTATTTGGAATCGGTGAACAGAGAGAAGAAGAAGAACTGACGCCAAATGTCAATGTCGGAGTCCCCAGATTCACAAAATAAACCGGTTCAGCTCCTCCGCCCACATGGTCTTTTTTGGGGGATAATTTGTTGAACAAATTCACAAAATAAAAGACTCATTTTATGTTCTCAGACAAATTTTCAGTTCATGAAATCACAAGTAACCATCTGATATTCAACATTGAAACAAGCTCTGAGTCTGCGGTAGACACGCTGTCTGATCTACACATCAATCAATCGATCGATCAATGGATCAATGGATCAGTCCATCAACGGGTCCGTGGGTCCGTCTTTAGTCTCCAGCAGCTTCTGCTTCCGGCTGAAGACAGCAGCAGGAAGTTAAAGGACTTCTGGGAGTATTTGTGTCCGGCTCCCTACAGAAACATGAATGAGACGTCCATTAACTTCCCATCACGCGTCAAAGCAAACGGTTTCTGATCGTTTTATCTTCCCGCCCGTCAGGAGATGTTGGTCGGCGTTTTTTTTAACACTGACCAACATCTGCTTAGCCCGCCACATCTGTAAGACCGTGACCCTCTCTGAGAGGCTACTGGGGGCAGGGGAGGTGGAGGGGGAGGAAGGGGGAAGGAAGGTCCTGTCAGCGTCGAAGAGATTCCATCTGCAGCACGTTTAGTTCAAACAGCTTTAAAAAGATTTACACGACACATTCAAATATATTCAGAATAGAAGTGATTACTAGTGTTTAGCTACACAATAATTACACAAATAAAGCCTCCAAAAATACATTGTCTAAGGAGCAGAATTTTAAGAATAAAATGCGAGGAGATCGTCAAATTAATTCACAACAATCACACAAAGAGTGAGACTTTCCTTCAGGAGACCAAAGTTGTTCTCCTGTCATTGTCAATAAGGTTTTGTTCTTCTTTTTATTCACCGAAAAAATGTATCCTATATTTAACCAAGTGGTTTAGCTTCCCTCACTAGTTCGTTTACCATTAAAACAAATCTAAATATATTTTTTTTAAAACATTTACAATTGGATTTTTTAAATATTTATAATTTTCTGAAATGTTTGTACATTTTCAACATTAAAGCTGATAAATTGAATGTTTTGTTGCAGCATAAAACTAACTATGACGTGAAGTCGCAGTCCACCTATTATTCAACACGATCATTACGTCTGAGTAAATTAACGTTCCTCAAAAAAACTCAAATAATAATTTTTCATACAACTAAGTAACGTCTGTGACGTCTATTGACAACGTCACAGGTTAAGCCTTGAGAGGGCGGATTATTTCGAAGGATATTCGAAGTATAATTTTTGTATCTGAACTATTGGGACAAATATTTAATTCCTCCAATTTGTCCATGTAATTTTAATTTAAACTACAGCAAAAAACTAATTAATCAGGTTTAGATTTGCTGTCAATCTGATTATTGCAGATTTTGACCAATCGGCTGCTTGGACCTCTCTGGATCTGGATCTGGGTCGAGCACTCAGACATATATTGGTAATAATAGATTTCCGTGCATTTGCTAATGCGTAATGGATTACTGTGGCACGGCATGTACAGTCGGTACGAGCAGATGCCGCTGACAAACAGCAAACTTAAGCATTGAAGCAAACGCAGATGTTCACATGCAGCTTGATTCACAGATGTTTTCTCCTTTTTTAGAGAAAATGGCTCTTTGATTGTAAGTTTAGTATTTTGTTCTTGTTCATGAGCCTCTGGAGAGCCTCACAATAATGAGTTTAACCTTTAAAGCCCAGCGACCAAACACGACCAAACACACATATTAGACCCTTCAAACAAATTACAGTTTTCACCAGATTACAGAGACTTCAGATGAATGAAGCCTCAAATAAAATAAAACTCATGACATCACGTTGAGTCCCCATGATGTCACGTTGAGTCTTGTCAAAGTCACGTTGAGTCTTGTCAAAGTCACGTTGAGTCCTCATGACGTCACGTTGAGTCCCCATGACGTCACGTTGAGTCCTCATGACGTCACGTTGAGTCCCCATGACGTCACGTTGAGTCCTCTCGACGTCACGTTGAGTCCCCATGACGTCACGTTGTGTCCCCATGACGTCACGTTGAGTCCCCATGACGTCACGTGGAGTCCCCATGACGTCACGTTGAGTCCCCATGACGTCACGTTGAGTCCTCTCGACGTCACGTTGAGTCCCCATGACGTCACGTTGAGTCCCCATGACGTCACGTTGAGTCCCCATGACGTCACGTTGAGTCCCCATGACGTCACGTGGAGTCCCCATGACGTCACGTTGAGTCCCCATGACGTCACGTTGAGTCCTCATGACGTCACGTTGAGTCCTCTCGACGTCACGTTGAGTCCCCATGACGTCACGTTGTGTCCCCATGACGTCACGTTGAGTCCCCATGACGTCACGTTGTGTCCCCATGACGTCACGTTGAGTCCCCATGACGTCACGTTGAGTCCCCATGACGTCACGTTGAGTCCTCATGACGTCACGTTGAGTCCCCATGACGTCACGTTGAGTCTTCATGACGTCACGTTGAGTCTTCATGATGTCACGTTGAGTCCTGTCAACGTCACGTTGAGTCCTCATGACGTCACGTTGAGTCCTCATGACGTCACGTTGAGTCCTCATGACGTCACGTTGAGTCCCCATGACGTCACGTTGAGTCCTGTCAACGTCACATTGAGTCCTGTCAAAGTCACGTTGAGTCCTGATGACGTCACGTTGAGTCCCCATGACGTCACGTTGAGTCTTGTCAAAGTCACGTTGAGTCCCCATTACGTCACGTTGAGTCCCCATGACGTCACGTTGAGTCCTCATGACGTCACGTTGAGTCCTCATGACGTCACGTTGAGTCCCCATGACGTCACGTTGAGTCCTCTCGACGTCACGTTGAGTCCCCATGACGTCACGTTGAGTCTTGTCAAAGTCACGTTGAGTCCTCATGACGTCACGTTGAGTCCTCATGACGTCACGTTGAGTCCCCATGACGTCACGTTGAGTCCTCATGACGTCACGTTGAGTCCTCATGACGTCACGTTGAGTCCTCTCGACGTCACGTTGAGTCCTCGTGACGTCACGTTGTGTCCCCATGACGTCACGTTGAGTCCCCATGACGTCACGTTGTGTCCCCATGACGTCACGTTGAGTCCTCATGACGTCACGTTGAGTCCCCATGACGTCACGTTGAGTCCTCATGACGTCACGTTGAGTCCCCATGACGTCACGTTGAGTCTTCATGACGTCACGTTGAGTCTTCATGATGTCACGTTGAGTCCTGTCAACGTCACGTTGAGTCCTCATGACGTCACGTTGAGTCCTCATGACGTCACGTTGAGTCCTCATGACGTCACGTTGAGTCCCCATGACGTCACGTTGAGTCCTGTCAACGTCACATTGAGTCCTGTCAAAGTCACGTTGAGTCCTGATGACGTCACGTTGAGTCCCCATGACGTCACGTTGAGTCTTGTCAAAGTCACGTTGAGTCCCCATTACGTCACGTTGAGTCCCCATGACGTCACGTTGAGTCCTCATGACGTCACGTTGAGTCCTCATGACGTCACGTTGAGTCCCCATGACGTCACGTTGAGTCTTGTCAAAGTCACGTTGAGTCCCCATGACGTCACGTTGAGTCTTGTCAAAGTCACGTTGAGTCCTCATGACGTCACGTTGAGTCCTCATGACGTCACGTTGAGTCCCCATGACGTCACGTTGAGTCCTCATGACGTCACGTTGAGTCCCCATGACGTCACGTTGAGTCCCCATGACGTCACGTTGAGTCCTCGTGACGTCACGTTGAGTCCCCATGACGTCACGTTGAGTCCCCATGACGTCACGTTGAGTCCTCATGACGTCACGTTGAGTCCCCATGACGTCACGTTGAGTCTTGTCAAAGTCACGTTGAGTCCTCATGACGTCACGTTGAGTCCCCATGACGTCACGTTGAGTCCTCATGACGTCACGTTGAGTCCCCATGACGTTACGTTGAGTCCCCATGACGTCACGTTGAGTCCCCATGACGTCACGTTGAGTCCTCATGACGCCACGTTGAGTCCCCATGACGCCACGTTGAGTCCCAAGTATGAGATTTAGACTCGAGGGACGGCATGAATTTATTGGAAGATAATAATAAGTTATCTTATGCTGCTGCTTACCTTCCGCTGTCCCACTCAGCAGCTCTCCAAAGACATCCAGATGTTTTAAAAAGTAAAAACAAAGAATAAAAAAAACACAGAACAGTGTCCCTTCCTCGTCCTCTTCCTCAGACCAGGGTTGTCCTCTTCTCTCTCTCCCGGCTCAGGTCCGGCGTCGGCGGCTCGCCTCGGCCGGCTTCATTGCGGGTGGAGGCGGCGGGGGAGTTTTGCATGACCACCAAGTGGATGGGCGACTGGCCGGCTGCCGGAGGAGGAGGGGGAGGCGCTGCAGCGGCAGGAGAGGTGTCCGGCGCGTACTCCTTGGTGGGGTCTTTGCCCCGGCAGTCGTACAGGATGCAGGAGATGAGGAACACCAGGAGCAGGATGACATAGCTGGCCACCAGGATGATGAGGTTCAAGGTGACCGGGTCAATCTCCAGGTAGAATTCCATTAACCCCATGGCGACGCTTCATATCGCTCTCGGCCCCAGGAGCCAGAGGGGACAACGTGGGGAGGGGCGGGGGGGCCGTGGAAATCTGCAAGAAAAGCGAGTGCGTCGGGGGGAGGGAGGGATGCTGATGATGGCGCTGGACGAGGGACGACAGCTGGCTGCAGAGAGAGAGAGAGGACAGAGGGTGGAAGCACTGGGACAGAGACAGAGAGGGAGACAGACTGGGAGGGAGAGAGCGACAGGATGTGAGCTTTGTGCTTTAAAGGACTTTAATCCTCTACGTTGACTTTTCAGCAGCCAATGATTAAAGCTGCTCACTTTAAATAACTTAATCCACCATTTTGATTTTCCTGACGACACAGAAGAGGAAATGGAGGACGTGTCACATTGAGGGAATCCCTTGATGTTCATTATTAAACTACCGTTTTATTACGTCACTCTGTCTGATTGTTTGGGGTTTTTCACATTTAAAATCCGTGTAAAAACTCATTGGCTCACAGGATGGAACATTGGCGTTAGCATGTTAGGACCTTAGCGTGGTAGCATGTTAGCTTGTTAGTTCAACAAAAGTTGAACAATAACAACAGGAGGGTTTAGTTGAAGCCTTAAAGGTTTTGGTCTGAAATTATGTTCTTGAACTAAAACCTGGAGAAGAGAATATATAATATGTAGTATTACAGTATTAAGTGTTAAATACAACAGAGATCAATAGTCACAGTTGTAATTGACTTGATCAAATTAACTTTAATTATTATTATTATTACTTAAATGTAGATAAATCTCTGAATTATTATTAATCCTCAGAGTTTATGGAATGATGGCATATGTTTAGTATTCGGATGTATCACAGATAACCTTTAAATTCATTTTGGAACATAAAGAAAAATATTTTGCCTTTTTTTCATTTTGTGAATTTTTCCCAACTGAACCTTTGAAGTTAATATTTCTTATCATATTATTTTCTCAACAACCAAATAGAGAACGAATAAAACGAAAAAATTAACTTTAAATGAACAGCTTTTTTGTTTTAGTTTAGTTTTTTTTCGCCATCTCAGACTAGATAGAAGAAATAGTGCGATGAAGATGAAAAACATGCGACATGGGTGTGACCTTTGACCCAAAGGTGTCAGCCATCTGTATTCCTGAGCTTCTGTAAGGATTTCATTAGAAAGAGTGAAGGAGGATTTCTATAATCTGTGTTGAGACCTTCGGTTCTTCATCAGGAGGTCTGATCCTCAACAAAGACTCTTTTGAACGTGAGCTCCAATTTTATTAGCTTTTATATTTAAAAGCCTCTGAATTTAAAATCTTATACACGTGAAACAAATCCATCTGCACAAAATTATTTAGTATTTTTATGATGACTCATTGACCAGGAAGTGGATTCACCAAACATCCAGTGAGGCGTTGATGTAAACACTAATGTGTGTCCGCATCTTCCCACTGGAAGGAAGACAGTCTGCAAATGGAAAACTTAATTTCACATTTGCAGCTAATTGTATTATTTTTAACATTAACATCAAATCAGACACATAGGAAACAAAAATGTAATAAAGAAATTATGTAAGTGAGGCGTCTTCAAAAGTAATGTTATATTATTAATCTATTCCTGTAGGCGCCGCTCTTTCATCTTCTTCTCATAACTCCTTATTATCAACCTTTTTCTTCCTTCTAAGGACACTCACCGCTGCCTCCTGTTCAAGAGTTCAAACGTCAGCAACCAAAACCCAAGAGGAACCAAGAGGAACCAAGAAGGACAGATAGGAACCTAAAGGAACTGATAGGAACCTAGAGGAACGAGGAGAAACCTAGAGGAACAAAGAAGGACAGATAGGAACCTAGAGGAACTGATAGGAACAAAGAAAAACAAAAAAGGACAGATAGGAACCTAGAGGAACTGATAGGAACCTAGAAGAACGTAGCGTAACTTATGAGAACAAGGAGAACAGAGAATAACCAAGAGGAAGCAATATGAGCCAAGAGGAACCCAGAGGAACCCAGAGGAACCAAAAGATCCCCCGATTGTGTAGATGAGGTCATGTGACTCCATCACCAGATCTTAGCGTGTCGTCTGATTAAAGCTGTTCCTCCACACAAACAAACGCAGTTTAACAAGTTCACCCCGAGTCTGTCCCACTTTAAACCTCACGATCAAAGACAAAACAAAGGAAAAGAGGCAATGCAGCCTCCTAAAACAAAGGATCAGGAAATAAAACCCTCAAAGGTACCCTTAACTCTTCCTCAGCAGAGTTCATCCTGAAGGGACCATGAAGGTTTGAGGGGAAACATGTTTTTTTTAGAGGACATTGTCCCTCCCTGGTTCTTGGAGGCTTTGTGGGGGGGGCCTCAAATCCATTGTCGCCCCGCAAAGTCTCCTTCAGAATCCAGCTGCAGACCTTCAGGAGCCACAGCATGTTCCGTTCCAACACCAACAATCACTGTAAAGAGAACATCGCTCATCCTCTGGTTCAACAAACGCGCCTGATGTTTACTGAACAAACTGTGTGTCTGGAACCATAAGAGCCTCCAAAGAGGAACGAACTCGTGAGGAAAAGGAGGCCGCAAGATGAAACCAGAGAAACTACATAGAGAAGGGCAAGCAGGGTATTTACACCGAATGTCCTTCACCCAGAACCAGGACCAGCACCAGAACCAGAATGAAGTTCTGACGTAAAATAACTCATCTGTAGAATGTCGAGATTCATGTTGGAGATAAATGTGATTAATTAACTCATGTTGGGTTCATTCAATTATTTATAGACCGACTAGCAGCTTTATCAGGGCTCAAGAGCAAGAATAAAGTATAAACCAGGTTCCACAAGGATGCCTTATCGAGGAATGAACCTGCAGCCCGCTGACACCTTGTGGTGAGCAAGAGAACTACAGTTGGTACCCTTATTTAACTAAAATAAGAATACGGAAATGTTTCAAGTAATTGAAATGTAAAAATAAATAGAAATAAACGTCTCACCCCAAGTTGTTTAAAAGAGTCTTTTACTTTGAAATGATTTGAAATCAATAACCCAAATCCAGACTTTGAGTCACTACCTCCCGAAACGTCTCACGATCGAACACATCGTCCCCAACGCTCGTCTGACGGCGTCCAGGCTTTTAGCTCCTAGAAGTCAACATAAAACACTTAAAAGAAGGTCTGTAGTGTATCAATCAATCGTTTACTTCCATCAAACCATCAAACAGTCCATCATTCATTCAACAACTAGATCAAACCATCGATCGATCGATCAAACTCACCGCTCACTACCATCTTCCCAGAGGAGAACATGGTGACCGTGGCGCTGGGAACGACTCTGAGGTGAAGACCTTTAAACAACTCCGGTTGATAGCTGAGGAGAGAGTACACAAGAGTATACATCATGCACCACATGTAAATCTCATGTGGTCTAGAACCATCCTGTCTCCCGACCTGCAGGGCTGGTAGCGGGCCAGCTGCTCCAATCGGACCGGGAAGGTCTCGCAGGAGGCCACGATGTTCTGGATCTTGAAGTCCAGGAAGCGGACCGGGAGGCCCAGCTTCTGCATGATGCGGAAAAACCTCCAGGCTGCCACCCGGGACTGCTCCTCACTACTCAGAGAGAGAGAGCAGAGGTCTATGGGGGGTCCACAGTCACTGATGGTGACTCTGGTCTCTGATCTCTGGTCTCTGGTCGGTCCAGACAGACGGACCTTTTGGCTCCTAAACAGACCATGCTTCCGGATTTGTAGAATTGCGCCGTAGTCGGCGGCTTACGGATCCTCATTGTGAGCGCCTGGAAAACCTGAAACACACCAGGTTGTTTACTGAATACCTGCTGGTCTCTGGTTTCTGGTCTAGGGTTTGGGGTTTGGAGTCTGGACCCTGGTCTCTGTACCTTTGGTCTGTACTCTGTGTTCCGGGCCCTGCGGCCTATGTGCAGCAGGTCCAGAGAGCAGCCAAGCTTGATGGTGGAGACGACGTTACTGCACACAAACATAAGTAGAGACGTGCTTTTTCCAACAGCACCTGAAGGCAGCACGGCTACATACAACAACAGGGAGGTCATTGATGAAAAGTTCCAGAAATGATCCCCAGGGAACTCACTGTATCTGGAAGACGATATCTGGCTGCTGTCTGTCGCGGGTCTCAGGGGTCACAAAGGTCACAGGGGTCACAGGGGTCTCAGGTTGAGCCGGGAACTCGGCTGAGACATTCTGGGAGTTATCCTTACACAGCGTCAGGAGCTCGTCAGGTAGCAGGTCCATGAACGCCTCCTCTGGCTCCGCCCTGGAGGAGTTCTGCACACCCACACCAGTGGCATCACTACGTAGCTCGGTGAAGGCGTTCAGATGTCTGTTCCTAACTCCTCATCAACTCTCCTTCACACCTTTCCTTGACCCTTTGACGTTCTTCTCAGAGGTCAAGGAGAAGTGGTTAGGAAAGGAGGCTAGGAGGTTGATTAGGAACATTGGACCGTAGCATCTGAAAGATTTCTACATTTCTCTTATGGTCAACAAATCCAGTGAAGAACCCACAACAGCTTTGATTGGATCTCAGGGATGTCGATCAATACGCTGTAGAAAGTAGTCCCTCGCTCATTTACATTCATTTGTTAAATGCATTTAAAAAAATACTTCATAAAAGTTCCCATGGAGCATTTTTCAACCTCTAAACGTAGACGTTAAACATATAATACAATACATATATATATGTATATATATATTATTGTATATATATAAATACGTTTAAATCACTGGACCAACTATTGGCGACCAGTTCTTTAATTCATTTCAAATCGTAATGATAAAATCAATAATATCTTTTGAGGACAACACAAGACATTATCACCACGTTGAAGACGTACTCACCTTCTGGAAGTATCGCTCCAGCACAGAGTCCTCCATGATATCAGCGACCCTGAACTAGTACCACAAAGTACACAAGTTATGTACCTCTTTTACTTATTTCTATAAATAAGTTGTTGATGTTCAAACGTATAAAAAGAGCGCTGTTGCTAGGAGACCGAGATGGACGACAGCTTGTTGATGTTTAAAAGGAACAAACCAAATGTTTTATTTGTATTATTGATTGTTTCACTGTTTATGAGAAGGATGCTGTTTTATTGTCTGGAGAATACAAAGAGAGCTGAGTGACTGAGAACACTGCGCCCCCTGCTGGCGGAGCACTATATGAACAGTGTCCACCGGTTATAAATATATATTAAATACAGGATATCATATTCATATACCTAGAAATATGTAAGAACCCCCACAGGTATAAACACACAGACTCTGTTTGTCTCGTTCCTTCTGTACTTATTTCATTCACTCCCCTCCTTCCTTCTTCTTTTCTATTCCCTTCTTTCATCCACTCCCACTTTCTCCTCACTTCCTTCCTACTTCTAATATCCCCCGTCCTGTCCTTCCTTTCCTTTCCTCTTCTCTCGTTTCGCCCCAGGTGAGCGCCAGGTACAGCAGAGCCCCCCCGATGGGCGACTGGGCGTCAGTGAGAGCGTCCGCCGCAGTGACACGTGACCTCTCTCTGTATTTTGGGACGTTCCACACGAGGCGGGACGCAGACACGTTCACAGGCGCGAGCAGATGTTTCTGCTCCGGGAAAACCACACGAAGAAGAAGAAGAAGAAGAAGCCGCATTGTTTCCGCAGAAGAAGAAGAGCTCAGAGACGTCGGTTAGTTTAAAAGATGAAAGAGTGTAAACGTGGTTGAAATACGTCACTGACTTGGACTCAGAGCGGCGCTGCTGCTGGTCTCACTGGTGCTACTGGTTTTACTGGTGCTAATGGTGTCACGGTTGTTACTGGTATGTATGGTTCTACTGCTGTTTATGGTGGTAGTGGTATTACAGGTATTTCTGCTGTCATGGTTTGGACTGGTGCTACTGTTGTTATGGTGTGACTGGTTTTACTGGTGTGTCCCTCTCACCAGCCGAACATTGTGGATAAATCTCACAGCTAATTAACTAACACGCTGAAGTGACTGTTAAGCGAACCAAGTAGTTCTATTCTACGGCCCGGATAGAGCCACGCGACTAACACATAAATGCCACCAGTTAGAAAATCGCTTAACAATGTTAGAAGTTAGTAAGCAAACCACTAACAAGCATTATAATACGGTGGATGAAATCCAGCGCTGTGATTGGTTGAGAGCGAGTCACGAGGCTTCATTATTGGGCGATAACGTACAGAACCTGTTCACATTGACCCGATTGATCCGCATCACTGCGCAGCAACAAGTTACAGCTTGTGCGGCCGTTAGTTGACATGTTAGCATTTAGCTCGGTGGTTTGATCGGTTTGATCACTTTGATCACTTTGATCACTTTGATCGGTTTGATCCATTTGATCGGTTTGATCGGTTTGGGGCAATGCGAGTTTTTACAACCGGACAATGAAGGTGGACGTCATGAGCGATGTGAATGAATGAGATGGACCCGATGCTGTTTACTGCACGTACGGACTATTTGTTTGGTGGACACAACTATTTACTTACTTTTTATCATTTCGCTGGTAACCGTGTTATAAAAGCAACCAGGTACTTGAGGCTGTACTTTATCTTCAATAACGTAACAGTTGTACGGTTACATTATTGAAGATAAAGTACTTATTTCTTAATTATTACATCCACGCAGGCTAATAAGTGAGCTTATGAACTAACTAGAGAACACGAGCTGCGGAGTGGGCGGAGCCAAAGTGAGACACCTGTCAAACTGGGCCAGACGCGTCCCAGTTTGATCTCCAGTGGCTCAGACCAGTAAAACCAAAGGCGATGGTTCGGTCGACGCGGGGAGGGTAGTTAGCTAAATGTTTTCCTAGTTTCCCATTCATTTTAGTTCCATTTAGCTGGTTTTGCAAAAGAGATCATAACACTCTTTCCATATAATTACTTTATATTCCTTTACAGTAATGAAAATAAAACATCCATTTAATTCATTTAAAAGCATATTTGTTAAAACGTTTTAAAATTAAAATCCACAGAAAGTTGGCTGGCTGTAGGTGTCTGCGCGGGATAAACACTTCACTATTATTAAGCCGCGTGATAATGACGGTTCACCGGCCAACTGCCGTTTGTCAATGTCGATGACATCAGTATGCTACGCCTGAGCAATGGTTCCGAGCAATGGTTCCGATGGTTCTGAGCAATGGTTCTGAGCAATGGTTCTGATGGTTCTGAGCAATGGTTCTGATGGTTCTGAGCAATGGTTCCGAGGGCTCTGAACAATGGTTCCGATGGTTCTGAGCAATGGTTCCGAGGGCTCTGAGCAATGGTTCCGATGGTTCTGAGCAATGGTTCCGAGGGCTCTGAGCAATGGTTCCGAGGGCTCTGAACAATGGTTCCGATGGTTATGAGCAATGGTTCCGATGGTTCCGAGGGCTCTGAACAATGGTTCCGATGGCTCTGAGCAATGGTTCCGATGGCTCTGAGCAATGGTTCTGATGGTTCTGAGCAATGGTTCCGATGGCTCTGAGCAATGGTTCCGATGGTTCCGATGGTTCTGAGCAATGGTTCCGATGGTTCTGAGCAATGGTTCTGATGGTTCTGAGCAATGGTTCCGGGTGTGTCTTCTGTCCGGCCCATCAGCTATATCCCCCCCCCCAGGTCCTCTGCAGACATGGCTAAGGATGTCCCTGGACTCTGACTGCGTGCTGCTGTCATTGAGGAGCTCCAGGACGTCCTGCGTCCTCCAAAGCGAGGACGAGAAGGATGACCCCCCTGGAGCGGGAGAGGAGAGGTGAGCTAATCAAGCCCACCTGCTCTCGGACCCCCAAAACATTTATCTTTTATATATTTTTAGCGCTAATTTTCGGTTCGAAATGAATTTCATTCAATCAGCATCTCACAATAAGCAAATGGTTCCTGCATTAAAAGCATTTCTTGTCACGTTAAAACACATTTGATTATTTTATGGCGAGTTGTGCAAAGGGAGGAGAGAGGAAACAAGTTGTGTGAGTTAATTTCCACCTTCATCAGTTCCAGATCAACACGATAAGCCTGAGGAGATAAGAGCCTTTAGAGGGGTGGGGGGCGCAGAGGGGGAGAACATCCTGCTCGTACCCGGAAGTGAGGTTATCATGAGCAGGAGGAGGTCAATAGAAACTATTATTATATTAAGATTCTAAAGGAAATATCTCTCTAGCTGCGCCGTGTCGTCGTACAGATTACGTCGTTCAGCTGCTCCCTCGCTGTAAAGACCTTGTTATGACCTCTGACCTTGTGGGTGGTGGAAGCGGTTATGGAACCTTTTTATTGCCCCTCCACCCCGAAAGTTTCCCAACAAGTGTCCAACGCAAGATGAGTGCACATCTTTATGAAGAGCCCTTTGTGTGTTTTATTTCCACCGTATCATCATTTCATCTTCAATTAATCTTCAGATCATTCTCACTTAATAGTTGGTTAATTCCAAGTTAACAGTCAGTTAATAGTTGGTTAATCTCCAGTTTGTATTTCTCTTCAAACCTGCTCTTGTCCCTCTGCAGTGTCCTGGAGATGCTGAGCTGCTCCAAGTTCTCCGGGCTGGAGACATGGCTCTGCATGCCGTCCTCCTTACTGCTGCCCAGCGGCCCGGACCTCACCCCCACCTCCTCCTCTTCACATGCATCCAACCAGCCGACCTCCTCTGCCTCATCCTCCTCATCCTCAGCCTCCAACTGCCGTCGCTCCACCTGCAGCGATCCAGGAGAGACGCTCAGGTACTATCAGTTCGTTTCCTTTCATTTGACACAAAGGCCTCCTGATTGATAAACGGAGATATGTCACTACGCGCACACGCGGCGAGGTCAGGTGACTCCCCCGCCGGTCTCTGAAACCCTGAGTGGACCTCATCCTCTCCGGGCCGGGTCGTTTGGGGACGGCGGCCTCAGCCTCTCGGATGTGTAGCTGGTCTCTGGTCACTCTGGCTGTGGGACCTGGTCCTGAGGAGGAAGACGAGGGTCGGGAGGTCAAGGAGGAGGGTTAGGGTGAGGACGGTATCGGGAGGCTCATGTTCAGCGGCTTTTGATTGTGTCACATGGTCTTCATCAGCTAATGTTCCTCTAGATGTTCTTCTAGAAGGACTTCATTGGCTCTTTCATCAATGTCCTGGTCTCCTGCTCGTGGTTAACATTAACCTCCATAAATGGTAATAAAAGTTAGCGTTATAGTTGATTGATAACAGGTGGCAACAAGGTCTTCAGAGTCGTCGACTCTGCAGGAGATCCGTGATGATGAGAAGCTGGACATTCTGTCTTTCTGATGTTTCCCCTGGTGACATATGAACACACCGTGTTCTGTGCCTGCAGGTCGTGGGACGGCGACTCCTCCCTCCCCCCTCCTGCTCTCCTCCCAGTCTCCTCCACCCCCGCTGGACAGTCCTCCTCCCCCCCCTCCTCCTCCTCCGCCGGGGGGGGCATCAGGAAGCGTCGGCGCCTTGCTGCCAGTCCCGGAGGACTCCACTGGAACTCTGCAGGTAAGAAGGGAAACACTGGACCAATCACAAGCCAGCAGCCCGCACCACCTGGTCAGAAGCACCTCCCACCTGGTAGTTCCAGTGGAGTCGGATCAATGAAACACAATCAATGACCTCATTGGTTAGAGGAGGATCAACGAAGGGGATTTACATAATGTTTACATAAAGGAATCGTGAAGAAATGTTAATTATTTTCAAAATTGTCTTTTTTATCACAAAATATTGAGAGTACTAGAATTGATCACATATTTAATGATTATTTAACTGCGTTTGAACTTAAAGGCAGCTTCTTTAACGGGTTAAAAGTAACTGTTGAGTGGTGAGACATGAATCTGTAGATTGACATCATGTCTGTTTATGGGTCCACTTCCTGTCCCTTAGCTCCACCCTTCTCCAGAATGATAACGAGTTTCCTGTCTAACAGATTACATTTTAGCTCCACGGTTTACAAATGACACATGAACGCATCATCATAATGTTTTAATGTTCTCGTTTTTACTGCGCACAACCTGAACGCATCACAATGTAAGCGGAGTGATCACTCTCAAGGTGTACTGATCATGGATCAATCACGTCCTCCAGGGAATCAGCCGTTTGTTCTCCTGCACAACATGAGGTAATGAAGAGACGATTAGGTCAGTTCAACTTTGACCTCAAGCGCTTCTGGTCGTTTGTGGGACCAAAGAGCAGAGACAACGTTGTCCCCTCTGCGTCTTGACGTTGGTTTATGGAGGCAGAAGCTTTTATGATCTACTTCATGATCGTTGAGCTCGTCTCTGAGCTCTAGATGTTTGTCTCCTTGGTGTCCACCAGAGGGAGCTGTTACTCCATCAGAGGGAGAGACGAGGGGGGGACAGACAGGAAGACAGATACCCCCCCTCGTGCTTGCAGCAGTCTCACAGGTGAAGTTTCCTCATCTTGTGGTTTCATTCGAGACGTGCAGAAGGTGAACAAAGAGGATCATCAGTTTATTCTACAATGTTACATCTACACAGAAAGGTGAAGCATTAGAGACGGACATCGGTCCTCAGAGGAGCTTCAGTCCAACTGCAGCTTCCGAATAAAATACTCCAAATAAAACAAAGCTCTCAAGCTGCATAATAGTTTCAATACAACCAGTCATGGTTTCCTACTCGGACAAATTCATTCCGTTCTTGGTAAAGTTTGGGAATGAGTTGTCCCTTCAAAATAAAAGGTGTGTGTGTGTGTGTGTGGTAACAGGTGTCTCTGGTTTCTCTGCTCCAGGTTTGGTGCAACGGGACTGGTCACCTGACCCGTCTCCGGTGTCGGGGGAGAACGCAACAGCAGGACGAGGGGCGAGCCCCCCCCTGGTGCAGGTAGGCGGGGCCACGTGGGGGGCCGACCGGGCTGCCCTGAGACTCCTGAGTCGGCTGGAGAGAGGCAGGAAGAAGGTCCACGGCATCCAGGTGAGTTCTTCTTCATGTGACATCTTTTGTTCATTCATTTATTCGCTATCTTTGGGTTGGATCAGATTTCAGATGTCATGAATATTAAACCTCTCTGGGGGTCAGAAGCATAAGCATTCTGTCAGAGATCAATGAAGCACCTTCGCTCTCCGGACTCATCCTGTTTGCCACCATCTTGGGTTTTTTGAAAATTGACCGGATTCCCTCCTAATTACGTGCGCTCGCTTTGTTATTTTGTAACAACGTGTTTATCCGCTACGCAAAATATTGTCTGACATGAGAACTGGGCCCTTGATCTAAAGTGTCTAAAGTACCACAAGACCTTCAAACATTTCAAGTGAAATACTTCTGTAATAATTTATAGTATTTCAATTAATAACTTCTATTAAAGTATTTTTTGATTAACAGAATATTTAATGAGTGATCAACCTCACTGTGATCAAATGTTTACTATTTGTTTCTTTTATCATCAAATAAAAAATATTTAATACGTCAAATAAACACAGAAAGAAGCTTTAGTTTACTTTTCCACTTATTGATCACATTGTCTCAGTGTGTGAAGAAGCTGCACGAGGATGCGATGGAGGAGGAGGAGGAGAACAACATGTGGAGGCGATGAAAGGAGGTGAGGGAGGAGCAGGAATGTGCTCCTCCCTCACCTCCCGCTCCGTCGTCTCAGTAAATAATTAATAAAAGATTTCCAGGCAACACAAGAAGCCGAGAGACGAAACATGCTGAGGAGAAGCGTGGAAAAGTACTGGCAACTTTACTCCTCCACCTCCTGCTCCTCTCATCCTCCTCCACCTCCTCCTGCTCCATGGGGTGTGCTTCCTTCAGCATAGGAAAGGTGCTCATATCTATTTATTTATTCATCCACTGAATCCAGTTTACGGTGAATGACACACACACACACACAGACACACACAGACAGACGTGTTTCATACTTTGCTTAAGATTTAAAACGTGAACCTGGAAATGCTGAGGATATTTATCCGTGATGTGTGATGTCATGCTGGTGATGTCATGCTGGGTTGAACAGAAGCTTGTTTCTCCTGTTAGTGGCATCTTCAGTCATTTAAAACAGTTTCTGTCTCCTAGCAACAAGGTTTGTTTTTATTATGACCATGAAAACAGAAGGCCGATGGAGGAAAATGGACAGTTGTTAAAGGGGGGGGACGGGGGGCAGACGGTAATCTTCCTGTCTTCAGTTGTCATGGAAACAGAATATTTCACCCCCCAGCTGTGCGAACCCTTGCATTGCTCCACGGACCCAGAATCCTTCACTCTAGCCGCTGTCCTCCCACTCGCCCTCCATCATTAATCTCCACCTTCACTCTGTCACCAACTGCTCCCTCAGACGTGAAGTTAACCCTGTGGTGACGCTTACAGTAGACCCAAACTGAGATGAGTCCTCATGTGGCGAGGAACCGAGGAGCCGAGCGAACAACCTGCTGCTCCATGTCAGTAAGACCATAGGAGGTGATTGAAGAGGCTCCTCCTGCGTCTCCATCAGTGGAGCTGAGGAGCAGCAAGTTAACAGCTTCAAGCTCCTGGGCATCAGCATCACAAAGAACCCTACGTGGTCCTCACACATCTCTGACCTGGAGGAGGAACCATCTGCTGGTATTGGTGACAGGAAAGGAGATTTAAAAACAACCTCCACAGCTCCTCCTCCACATTTATAGTTTTGTGATGAACTCTGTAAATATTCTTTTAATCAGAGCTTTATTTTACCGCTGATGAGTCTAATGGTCCGATCCAGATGTCCGCCGGTCGAGTTGATGCTTTGAGTCTCTAAAGGATGCGGTGATGTCAGAGGTCTTCTGATACCTGATTGAGTGATGATCTCCTCTGTGTCTCCCCTCAGAGTCTGGGAACCACTGGCAGATACGACTCCAGGAGGAAGTAAGTATCATCATCATCATCATCAGTCGGTTCTCTTTGATCTTCGTGTATTCTGAGAGCAAGAAGTCCTGATGTGAAGAAGCAGGAGTTCTGGCCTCTGCTTTCAACAGCAACCGGATTAAATCGCCCTGCTTTTTGTTTTCCATCTTCGCTCGGTGGGGTCGGGTGGAGGGGGGGTGGCTGCTGGTAGTAAATATTCTCTGGTACTAACATGAAGTCACACCGATGTCGAACTTGCTCTGACTAAAAGAATTAAAGTGGTGGATGATGTTTGTTGATTTCAGTCGTGATGCTTCAGCCTCATGTTTGGTCTCCTCGTCTGAGGAGACGCTGACAGCATATCAGACAAGAA